TGTAGGTGGCATTAGTGCTTAAATTTCAGTTTCAATGAACAGGTGATGAGCTGCAAGCTACATTTTTTTTTTTGCTTTTCTAAAGATTAAATCAAAAGCTTTATTAAACATTGCTCCTTCAAACGGCCTCCACCCTTCCAGACCCGGAGCTGCAGGGGTAGATGGGCATCACTTTCCCCAGACAAATCTGATCCATTCAAGCTGCACAATATCAAAGGATCAAGACACCCCACACTGGCAGAACTCTGCAACTCTGTGCCCCATTCAGGATCTGGGCAGATATTGGTAGTGCCAGCTCTTGACCCAGAACTCAAGCACAGAACAGGAACCTAAATCATCTCTCCTGGTCTGAGTCTGAGCAAGTACATTTTGCCTTTACACTACAGCTTTGCTTGAATAATTTATGGTATCTTTAATGACCATTTTTTATTCATTGTCTGAAGTTTAACTGTTGAAGTTAAATATCCAAAGAGGCTAAAGTGGATAAGACCGATAAGGAACAGAATCTTTGATGTGTGTGTTCCTAGAATGCACCATCACACACAATTATTCCTTTCCAGCAAGGTCATTGTTCAAATCAGCTTTTCCTTCTCAGAAAACAAAATTAAAGGTTGAAGCATTCAAAATACTTGCCATTCCTAGTTGAACAAACTGCATAACTAACTGTTTTGTGATTAGAAATGCTAGTTTTACATCATTCTAGACAAACTCTTTCTCCATGTGATCTACTGTATACACAATCTCTACTAACTATGGGAAAATATTGGAACAGAAAAATAGGTAGAGAAATATAGAAATAGTTCTTCATTGATTTATTAATTATTCATTAAATGCATGAATTACAATGTTTCTGTGATGCCAGAGAATTGAAGGGGAGGTCTTGCACACTCTAGGGCAACTGAACAACCACTAAGCAACACAATCAGTCTTGTGCCAGGCGTGGTGGCACAGGTCTGTAGTCCCAGCACTTGGGAGGCAGAGGCAGGTGGATCTCTGTGAGTTCAAGGCCAGCCTGGTCTACATAGTGAGTTCCAGGACAGCTGGGGCTACAGGGAGACCCTGCCTCAAAAAGACCAAAAAAAAAAAAATGGAGAATTGAATGAAATAAGCAAACACAACAAGAAATTATTAAAATAACTACTATACTTAGTTATAGATCATGATAGTTTAAGGAATGTGAGAAAGGCACTTCTTGAAGTTTTAAATTTTGTTTGTTCCTGGAATGAAGTTTTGTTTCCTACTGGAATTTACAAGAATAGAAAAATATTGGGACAATAAAAGGAGATGAATACACAACAATCCAAGTAAAACCTCTCCAGGAATGCATGTAGTCAGCCAGAATTAAGACAGAAACTGACAGGTTAGATTTTCTCTACAAAAACTTTACTATGATTATCTATGTCATTTTCTATTGGCTTCTATGCCTATGTGTTCTGTGGAACTTCTTACTGTACATTATTTCATATAACACTTAGAACAGCATTTGCCTTAAATTACTAGTGAATAAAGACATTTTGAATAGTTAAAAATAATTTGATAATGATATATTACTACTTCCTAAATATTAATGTATTTTAAATGATTTTATTAGTGTAATAGGGATTTATATAAAAACTTATTTTATGAGCATTTAAATATTTGGGAGAGTTTTTTTTTTGTACACTAATCTGACACTGCAATAAAAGTCAATATAAATCAATATAAACAAATTCACATACGTAAAACTTGAAATAACAGACATAGTAAAAGCTTGATTTTGAAGTTATTAACACAATGCATTTTTTTGTTGTTCTCTTTTTGAGACAGGGTTTCCCTGTCGCCCCAGCTGTCCTGGACCTCACTATGTAGACCAGGCTAGCTTCGAGCTCACAAAGATCCACCTGCCTCTGCCTCCCAAGTGCTGGGATTAAAGGCGTGTGCCACCATACCTGGCAGCACAATAATATTTAAAACTCATGATCATGTGTAATATAAACAGATTTCTCAATCAACCTGGCATTTTAAGGGAAATTAAACATCTAATTTAAAAGTCTAGCAGACGCCATACGCAAGCAGTTGAATCATGAAGTTTTTCCCCCAGTCTCTAAGTCTTCCATATGTTAGTTATTCTACCTTCCACTTCATTTGCACTCTTAACAAAATAACAGAAAACAAAAATGATGCATAGCATGTAAACAGAAAAAGAAGTGACTGGAACTTATAAAAAGTTTTCTGGACATGAAATCCAATAAACCAAACAAACAAAACAACAACAACAACAAAAAACAGTACGGAGGACTCCAGGAAAGTCCTGCATAATACAGTTCTGAGAGGTTTTTGTCTTCTTTATGGCTTTACTCTTTCTTAAGGATGCCTTCTACCCAGAGCATATTTTTGTTTTGTTTACACAGTCTTCTGTGTGGTATTTAAACTCATAGATTATTTTTTTAGACTCTACCATGTTGCTGTGATGATTCAGGGTAAAAAGTACCCAAAACCTGTGGTGCTTGATCAAAGAAGTTACATTAGCGGACCATGTGAAGGAGTCTGGCGAACATGACCTAGTGGGATGCTGTTTTGTCTCTTCTCATATTCGCAAACACTCTAAAGTCAAATCTGATTGCCAAGAGATTTCAGATTGTAGAGTACAATGCTCAGGAAAACAGAAGGATGAAGGTAAAATGTTAAGACTACAGTGTTCATCAAGGTTAAACAGAAAGGTAAACTCAACTTAAACATCCAATTTTTTCCCAATAGTTTTTGTCTGTGAAAAATGAATAAGTACATAAACAGAGTTATAAAACAAAATTATACATAACCTGTAAGCCCCATAAAGGGAGACTTCTGTTCACCCAAAAGATGTGAGACCTGTGTAAAGAAAGATTAAAGTGTTAGATTTCTAATAATGTGAAAGATCCACTCACCTTTAAAAACTTCCTGGAAATCAAGTTGTTAGAATATGCTTTGAACCACACAGGGTGAGAGTGGTGAGTGAGGCCTGGAAACAGCCAACATGTAGCCTGCATGTACTCTGGCTGAAAATAACTGTTTGATGAAGAATCCCAAGCATCTCTAATCACTCATGAAAAGAGAAATATCTAATTGACAATCCTAAGCAGTGTGTAAGAGAGCAGAAAATAAATATGAAAACTCCATTCCAAGAAACCTGGGTGTATTCCGATTCCAAACCATGCGTAAAGGAAAGGGAGTGGGTCTTTATTTTGGTCCATTTGTGCATTACAATTATAGATCACTGGCATTCTAATGAGATGTGACTTGTGTGGCACCCAGTGTAGATGGATTACATAAAACAGATGAGGTATTTCATTTGTTAACAGAGGTTAAGTGTGGAGATGGTGGAGGGGGTCAAAACAAAATCAAAACATATCACATGAAATTTTTGATTCAATAAAAAATATTTAAAAGATTAAAATTTTGAGTTTTAATAATATGAAAAATCCATTCAAGTTTAAAAATTGATTAAATTATAAAGAGATAGTTATTAGTATTCAAAAAACAATTAAATTTAAAGACTAACATGACAATAATTTTATAGATTTAGTATTCTTACTAATATCCATTTCTATCCAAAAATCTTAATTTTCTTTTCCATCACTGTTAATAACGAATGAAAATAAAATTGTGCATTAGTTAGAATAGTTTGGCAGGATACAGACATCTCAAATTGTACTCCATTCTGCACTGAAAAGTCATTAAAGGATCTTCTACAAATTTCCAAGTTTTATTTTAAAAGTATTTGTAGTGGGTTAATACAATTTGAACAAAGTAAATTATAAGAATAAAGTCAGCTCAGAACTTAAGAGTACAGTAATAGTTCATAT